GTTGTCTCCTTCACGGATGTTCTTATAATTTGGGTTAATCATAGAGACAGCAGTAATTGCTTGCTGTCGAAGGAGCTCAGCCGTTTTAGTTTGCTATCCCGATTAAAGTTCTCATTATTATAACATGAATTAATCCTTTTCACGGTAATAACTGCTTTGCTATCCAAGGAGTTCAGTTGTTTTAATTTGCTATCTTGATGAAATTTATAGAACAACGGCAGAAAGTGGAAGCAGCAAGTGAATTGTTAGCTAAACATCATGAAGATGGAAGCCCACGCGGAAAGCGTCGAAATCAAGTTACCAAAGAGCAAAAACCTGAACGACGAGGTAGTCGTCGATTGCGTGAACGAACAGAAGATGGAGTAGAAATTGATGATACTGATGATCGGCCCAGTAGCCGTCGAAGAACGAGCAACTTATCAGACCGCACAAAAAGTGATGATCGTGGAGATGACGATATATCACGGCATAGCCATGAAAGGACACGTCGTATATCAGATGATGATCGTTCAATAAGTCGGGATAGCAATCATTCCCTGCAACATTATGATGATGAAGGCTATCATCGTCGTCATCGTTCTCGCGATCATGATCTTGATGACGATTACTATCGCTATAGATCAAGGCGACGAGATGATGATGATGGTTATTACCGTCGACGAGATCGCTCTTTAGATCGTTATGATCGATCGCCATCACCGCGCAATAATTATGCTTCTGTGGCGGATGATGAAGATCGCTCGTATCGCATCCATAGGAAAAGGCAAGAGATTCAAGCAGATTATTCTGCTCGAATGGCTCATTCACATGATCCTCTAGGTTATGATGGATATGCAGGTGGTCGTTCTAGTGCCGCTGGAGGAGGTACTGATTCACCATTACGACCATCATCAGCAATCGATTTAAGGGCGTCCTCACCTTATGATATTCATGGATCTCCATATCCTCCAATGAATGGGGTAAATTTAAGTCATGGATAGATCCATTGACTATAAAATAATAAATTAAAATACATGATAACATCTTCTACTTATTCATATTAGTACATTAATGTCGTGTTTACTGAATTTTATAGATGCGAAGCTTAAGTCCATCTCGAAATGCGCCATATCATTCTACTAATTCGCAGCTATTAGGTAAATATAGTCTGCAAATATTAGCAATAGTTTGGAGTTTCAGTGATTTCTGACTAGGCCCTAGTTAGTCAGTGTAGTTTCGATCTACTGGGAATCAGATATTTTAAATAATGTAGATAATAAAAACGATTTT